CCCCCCCCCCCCTTTTGCACCCCGGTCCTCGACACCAGGAATTCCTCCTTGGAGGCGGCTGCAATTCTCCGGGGCCACGCCAACAGCATTTCCGCTGCGCACGCCGCCGCCTCCGGCAGCGGTGAGAGCGGCGGAGCCCCGAGGGCGTACACCGGCGATTGGAGCGGCCACGTGTGCGTGTGGGACGTGGCCTGCCTGGAGGGGGGGCACGCGAACGGGGATGACGACGCCCAGGCACGCGGCTGGTGTAACCGTTTCGCGAGCGCGTTCCGGATTGGTGTGCGCTTCTTTGTATTTTTTACCGTGTGCGGTGATGCGGGTCGCATGGACAATGGGGTTTGGCATATGAGTCATTGGGACAACGTTCTGGTTTGCCGCTCCGTAGATGTGGATCAAGAGCGCAACCTTCGCGGAACCGGCAACATGCGCCTAGACAGAAACCGCCTTGGCTCGGGTGGGACGCGCATGCCTCTCTCTCCTCCTAGGTTCTTCTGTCAAATTGTAATGGAAACGGTTTCGGATTTTTATGCGGACAGGGGACGAAACGTCGAAAGACGGACACGGGTGCAGCGGCGGCTGCGGTGGCAGCGGTTACCGAGCTGACGCCTTTGGCGGGCTTTCGCGCCCACTCTCAGGCGGTCACCGGGCTGGTGGGTCCGGGGGGGGTAGGGGGGCCGCAGACAGCAGCGGTGGTGGTACCTAGCAGCACATTGTACAGCGCGTCGTTGGACCGTGCGGTGAAGACTTGGGACGCGGAGAGGCAGGACTGCCTACACACTCTCAACGCACCCAAGGCGGTCACGTGCCTTGGCTGTTCGGACAGCGGGAGGTAAGGAGCTAAGCTTCCTCGAGTTGCTTTTGCGGGTTGTTGTTGTTGTTGTTGTTGTTGGTGGTGGTGGTGGTGGTGGTGGTTATTGTTGTTGTTGTTGTTAACACACCCAAAGTGGTCACATGTCTTGGCTCTTCGGAGAGCGGGAGGTAGAAGCTCAGGTTTAGGGTTGTTTTTGTTTTGGTGGTGGTGTTGGTGGTGTTGATGGTGGTGGCTTCACATCAAACGCCGTTCCGCACTCAACTCAAGTGACTGATTTGCATCTTACCGGCCCAACTGACGCCTTCCATGGTCACAAGCTGATTAATTACCCCACAGAGGTATGGTTGTGGTATGCGAACACGCTTTATTGAATAGTCGAAAGAGAAAACATAAAGGACCCATAAAAGTCGACACGAAAGCAACAACCCTCCCCTCTCTCGCCCCCTTGTCCTTTGCTAGGCTTCCGTGCTAGTTGTTGCCCTCTACCCACGCCGTTTGTTGCTCTTCTGCGCGTACAAAAGCGCTGGCCCACTAAGTGGTAGCCGTCCATTTTGCTGCTCGGATTCCTCTAGAACGCCCATCCAACTCACTCTCTATCTGTCTCCGCCACGTCCGTTCTCCTACGTCTTCACTGCTGCGTGTTAGGATGCTGGCCACCGGCCATCCGGATGCACGAGTGCGCATCTGGGACACTCGCACGCAGGGAGAGACACTCACCAGGGCCTCCCTGAGCTCCCACAAGCAGTGGGTCACGGACGTGAAGTGGGCTCCGGGTTCGGAAACTATGGTGCGTACGAAAATCGTCGGTGGAGGTATTTACACAACCCTTGCACACCTCGCGAAGCGCCGAGACGAGATAGGCACGTCCTTCTTGCGTCTGTGTTTAGGATGCTGATTCTGTTCTGGGGACGGGAACGGTGTTCCGTGTTGAACACTAGAACACGATGTATTGTCACTGGTTGCTCAAGGCAAGCAATGAATGTGTCCGCCCCCCCGCAACGGGTACGAAACATGTCTGTCGACCTCGTTTTTTCCGCTTGCAAGCGCCTAGAACCACTCGTCTGCTACTTTCGGTCTAGAGAACACGCTATTGGACATGGCGTCCGTAGTCTGGACACTAGTGACTACGTGTACTGGCTGGGGAGGGGTGTATTGAGTGGTTTTTGTTACTAGCATCGACTGCGGTAATCGGCTGACCAATGAAAAGACGTCGCAGTGCGGTGTGGGAAACACAAAGTCATGTGTGTACGCGAGTAGGTAGGTGTGCAATCGAAGGGGCTCTCGTTATTTCCTCGTCCTGTGGCTTCCCTCTTGCTCCCTCGCGTGCAGGTGTTGAGCTGCGGCCACGACGGCGCGGTCAAGCTCTGGGACATCCGCTCCACGCTGCCGCTGCACAGCGCCCAGGCGCACCAGGGGAAGGCCCTCTGCTGCGGCTGGCAGGACGGGAAGATTGTCAGCGGGGGGGAAGACGGAGCGGTCAAGACTTATGTCGTGCCGGAGAGGAATAACGATTGATTGATTTTGGTGTTGGCGTGACCAGCGGTTGTTTTATCAGGACACTCGTTCCCGTGCTATTTTTATGTCCCTCGGTCTCGAAGCGTTCCCGAATTTCACAGTAGTGTCATTCTTTGATTTTTTGCCGTGAGAGTGTCAAGAGAGGCTTGGAGGTGGGCATTGGTGCTCCAACGTGAGCTGCTCTGTTTGGGCTTGTTCTGCCCTTGGGGGAGACTTTTAGTCCCCGTGCTTGCCTGGTAGTAGGAGTGTCGTCTATGCTTTGTTAGTAAATGTTTGCTGCAAGTCTGTGTTGTCCCGATTCTCGCTCTCCCGCTTAGTTATTCTCCCTGATCGGTTGGATTTGTTTGGCTGAAAGAACGGGGGACGAAGCGTTCTTTCCAGATTGATTGGCCAGAGCAACCGCGATATAGCCATGTATACATCCCCGTGTTGCGGACGTGGTGATGGCTCTCACAAAACAACGCTTGACTTGACTTGTGCCTAAGACAGGTAGCACAGGCCGGTTGGTTTCGGGTCGGGGTTGACGGATGGGAGGGGCGCGTGCGGGGTTGCTGCGTGCCCGCTCACCACATGCAAACAGCTCTCGGTTACGGCACGTACGTGCCTATTGCACTTTTGAGCAACAAAGGTCAGGTTCGACCGTGAGCAAAGAAATGGTCTTTACCCGTCTCTCACTGCGTGTTGTTTGAGCTCTTCAGCACAAGATAAAGGTGGTTGTATGCCCGGTTGCACGCGGCACTGCTTTCAACTGATTGCCCACAAGGAGGTAGCAGTTTCGAGTCTTTTACACTTTTTGTGTTCGCGTGCTATTCTAAGTCCATGGTATTGGGCGTTACCACCGAAATAAAACTGGCCGTTTTTCATTTAGAAATTATCAGCCCGTAGTCAGTAGCTATGTACAGCAGTGAAGCACCGGTGTACTTATCTTTCGGAGAAGTGATTCCGCTTTTCGAGTGCCGGTGTTTGACTGGTTTGTCGACGAGATTAATCGGACAATGTAGCGCTCGTCTCCTAGCACTAAATCGCGCTGGTGGGGCCCTGTACCCGATTTTGACCGTTTGTCGTGCCCTCTCGGCATATTTTTCGATACACTGCTGCAGAACGAACCCACGGACCTACAAGGCCTCCAGCGACCCACCCCACATCCTATCCCCACCCCAGTCCGGCGGAAGAGAAGGGTAAAAAATAGATTGGAGAGGGGTATAGCTTAGGTCTGTATTGGTGCCCGTTAAAAATGACCGATTGCCCATCCGTACAAGTATAAGTACCTTTTTTTGCCCGACAAAGATTCAAAGATTCGTAGAGCCGACCTCAGTAGAAATACGGGCGACATGTGTACACTCACCTCCGACAAAGGTCCACGGTTGGACACGATGAGCATGACCCTCGGCTTGATTAATCGGCTGCTGCTGCAACCCTTCGGAGGTGAATCTGCGCTGGTAACATTGCGATGCTGGTACCCCGTTGGTGCACGTACGATATCTCTGTCGCTCCTCCTTCCCGTGTGCAACTGCTGTCGTCGAGTAGAGTTGCTGCATACTGCTGTAGTGTCGGGTATTGGAATGTAGAATGAAGGCAAGCTCATTACCTTCTGAAGACGCCTTGCCTCCCTAGAATGGGGTCTACAGAGCTCGCTCGATCGCGTCCATCTAACTTTTGATGGAGAGACCAGGCTTGACAATATGACACGAACCCGTCCCGCCAACCCGCTATCATGATATTAGTACAAAGGGGTACCTTATTCCGCCGCGTTTGTCTATTATTGTCAAATCCTCGCTGTACATTGTACAAAGTGGAGAACGGCCAAGAAGCCATCACGGCGGCCATCCAGGAGTTTCTTGGGGCGAACAGGGACCCGACCGTAGTTCCAAAGCGACCAAAGCGAGGGGAGGAGGTATGCGAGATCCGGGAGCGGTTTTGCAGCACAAGAAAAAGATCGCACACATCGATCGCTAGTCGGCGTCATTTCTTTTTAGAAAGTAAACAAGAACCTCACTGCTGAAAGACTACCCGTTCGAGATAGACTATAACCTCAGTCGAAAGGGATGTGGTGAAGTCTCTTCAGTAAGTGATTGAAACCAACTGGAGATTTGGCTTATTTTGAGTTTGTGTAAGCCTAACACTGAGTTATCAGTAATGCCAGTTGGAGTTTTTTTTTCACTGCTCTTTGTCGCTGTACGTTTATTTATGTGGAGGAGTATTATTTAGTCTGCAAACCAGTGATTTTAGTATTCCTACACGTGTAGACTAGAACCTCGTCGTTCGTAGTTTCCAACGACCCTGCGGCCTTGCTTCTCAATCTAAACTCCTTCCAATCAGGGTAATAATTCCTCTTTGATGCCAGCCTTCACTTCTCGACTACTAAATTACTTCGTAGTCGATAAGTGAATGATGCCGGCTTACATTTATTTGTGGCTACGGCGTATGGGCTGTGTGTGATATGAATGGTCGACGACGCGCGACTACGCGCAACTACATAACGATGTAGCTGCGCGTCGTCAACTATTCATTACATAGAAACCCTGACAAATCTAGCACACCCTGCTTCATACGTCAAAACGCAGGATGGGGATGATATGAGGGCGATCTTGGCAACCTTGGAATCGGGGGATGGTCGGAATGGCCCTCTCCCGGTGCTGCTCTTGAAGGTAAACACGAATGCAGTTTGTAAAAGCATTGGGGATCCTTAGCCTTCCACCGTTCGTGGCGCCCATGGTGTACAGCATTTTCGTGTGGTGAATGCAGGCACGAACATGGCACAGCAAGTTGTTCGCAGCTTGAACGATCCCCTATTGACGAGCCACAGGCACAGCACGCGTACGAGCTGTCGGGTACCAACACTTCATCCATCAGTAGGTTCGCGTGGTTCCGGAACCCCAGAAGTATTACACGCTGCCACGACCCCTATAGCACAGCCAGCTACATGTAGGTCACGTAAAGCGCATCGCACCTTCGTGGGTTGCGCCAGACTACTTAGTCGAGCTAGATCTTTCGTAAAGTGCAAGCGGCGGAGAGTTGGCACCCAGCCTAGACCGATTGCTCCACAATCAAGCTTGTGCCATCAACAAACAAACATCACGTATGTTTTATTTTTCGAAAACATCTCGTACTTTCCTCAGACGTGTCGGGGGTATTTCCGTGCCCATTTGGTTGCGGAGCAATCGAGCTTTGAAAGATGCTCTGTAGGGGGGGTGCCATCTCTCCGCCCCTTATGGTAGTTCGCTAAGTGATCGCGCACTCCACACCGCCCTCCCTCAGCTGGTCGCTTCGACTCTCACCTCTCATGCCCCCCCTTGCCACCCTATCTACTCCCAACCCCACCGTACCGAAGCACCAAACACAACATGACACCCTTTTCAACAAACCTTCGTCCAGGTATTGAAAGTTCTCCTGCGCAAACAATCCAATCGAGCAGCACTGGGCCGGCCGGCAGTCCAGACGTTGACCACTCTGATGAGCTCGGATAGCATGGACACGTGAGCACCGTGCGAGATTTTTTATTTGCACACTGCTTGCTCGGGGAACATCGTGAAGATAACATTCTTGTGCAGCAGTTGGTAATTGGGCACTTCCACTCCATCATTTAGAGCATCCGCCCGCACCCTATTGTCTCTTATCTTCCCCACCTTCACATGCCTCTTTTTTCTGCCTCCCTTCGCGCCTCCTGCCCTTCCCTTCCCCCCCCCCCCC